ATATATATATATATATATATATATATATATAGCATTTATATATAATATATACACATATATATGAATATATATACAACATAGATGAAGATATGAAAAAATGACTTACCACTAATGCCTTGACAGAAAAAATTGCGTATGATAATATATTGCTTTATGTCAATCTTTAATTATATAGCAGATAGAAATTATCTTGATCATGAAAATTTTATCAAATATTTTATAGTATTTTCTAGGAGGTCATTTGTTATTTACTTGTGAATTGTGTGTGTATATGTGTGCATGCCCAGAATTTGGCACAATATTTTCACTGTAATTTGCATTGTGTAATTAAGATGCTGACTGACTTATTTTTGATTTTTGGGATTTAGCAACATCATGTAATTCATTTCCTGAGTTAGACTGAGGTAAAATACTTTTGAATTTTTAATGAAATATCTGGAGAATAATTAACAGATATCCAGGGCACTCTCCCTCAAGTAATTATGTGCAATTTGTTTATTTTAGAATTATATTGAAATTTCAAATGATGAGTCCCAAAGGAAAAGGAAATACTTAAATCTCTTCTCTGACAACCTCTGAGTATTAAAACATCAGGAAGTCAAGGCAAATTCTACATTAAGGTAAGTAGAAACAGTGATCTTTGAACATCCTGAAGGGCATATAGCTTAAACTAGAAACTCGACAAAGATCTTGAAGGGCCCAATACACTGCAAAACACTTCTTCTTTTTAATACACTTTTCAGTCATCGATAGTGTGAATATTAAGTACAGATTTGTTATACATTCCTAGTTCTCCATATTTTTCATTATCTATTCATACTCAGATTTCAAATTAACTTACTGCTTTAATCATAGTTTAATAAAGATCTTTGTCATTAGTTAACAGGTATTCCTCTGATCCCATTCATTTCCTGTGTAATCAGGGTGTTCTCAATGGAGAGGGTGGTATTTTACAGTGTGTGTGAGAACATATTCTAAAGGCAGCATGACTGTATTTGATTCTGAGTGTACCACTTATGATCTGAGTGACCTTACTAAGGTAGCCAACTCCCTCTGCCTCAGTTTCCTTTTCTCTTGGAAGGGCATGATATTACTACCTATTTCTTACGGTTATTGTATAGATTATGTTGCTTAACTTCCATAAAGTTCTTAGAAATGTGCCTGCCACTCATTGTTTCCTCTACTTCTTGACAGACATTTGTGTTCTCCTTTCTGCTGGGATTCTTTTAATGATTCCTCATTAAATGTACATAAATAACCCTAATGACCAGGTCCTTGGTTTGCAGAAGAGGGCTTTATTATTGGGAGACAAGTGGAAGTAGGGATTCAAGGAGCTAAAAGGACACATGTGGGAAGTACTGCATTTCTCCCCAAGGACAACGTATTGGAGAAACTCTTTCTTGCCTGGAATCCTGACATATTCATCCTGAGATTCATTAAAAAGCTGATTCCTTCTCAATATGTACATTTAATTAAAACATCAGGCTTTCAGAAAGTATAGAAAGTCTAATTGGCTTAGGTAGGGGCAGATGATCATCTTTAACATAAACAACTCAGAACAGGATAATGGTTCAGTAGTGACTTAGTACTGAGAAAGCTCAACCCACAGGAGAGGGTTCTGGGTTTGCATATCGAGACATATCTGAGTGTGCTGGATGCATGTCTCTCTCTCTCTCTCCCTCTCTCTCTCTCTGTCTTTCTTGCTTATCAATAATGTGGGTCAATACCTTGAAGAATTTATTTTAAACATTTTAAAATTATCTCTAGGAAAATATTTGGTCATATTATAAAATCATGCTGATTCTATGCCAAATATATACAAAGTAATTATCATAGGTGCTCTATGAAACAAAGATGTTTATTACGATTGTGATAACAAAAAAAAATTCTTAAGTAGAATTTTTAAAAGAAAAAGATTAGCAGATGGGAAGAAGAAGATATATTCTGGGAGGAGGACAATATTCTATTTCTTCACCAAGTGATGCTAACATGGATGCATTCACTATCTGATAATTCACCAAGCTTCACATTTATACTTTGCTACATTTCTGGATTTGTATTATATCCTAATAAACCATTTTAAAGGTAAAAAAAATTAAGAAATGTTGAAACTTTTCTTTTTATGCTTTTTAGTCATTTTTATGCCTTCTTGAGAGAGTTGTTTGTATAGATCAAGGGCCCATTTATTAATTAAATTATCAGTTATTGTGTATGTAATCTACTTGAATTCTCTATACATTCTGGTTAAAAACTCCTTATCTGAAGTATAGCTTGCAAATATTTTCTTCAATTCTGTGGGATTTCTCTTTAATCTACTTATTGTTTCCTTTGCAGTACAAAAGCTTTTAAGTTTCATATAATTCCACTTGTCTATTTTTGGTGTTGTTCCCCATGCTTTTGGGGGTCTTATTTAAAATAATTTTGTGTAATCCAGTATCTTGAAGTGTTTCTCCTGTGTTTTTTCCCTGAAGTTTTATGGTTTTATATTAAAGTCTTTGAACAATTTCCAGTTAATTTTTATAAATTTATCTTGATGAGATTAATTTAATTTATTAATTTCTTATGAGAAATGGGGGTCTAGTTTTATTCTTCAGCAAGTGCATATACATTTTCTTTAGTATCATTTATTGAAAAAGAACTATTCTTTCTCCACTGAAGTGCGACCTTTGTCAAAAATCAAGTTTTTGTGTTGTTAAGTTTAGTTCTGCATTCCTTATTGTATTTCATTAATCTATGTGTCTACTTCTGTGCCAGTACTATGCCATTCTGGTTAGTATGGTTTGTAGTATATTTTGAATATCCTGTCATTTGACATTAACTGGACAAACACAAGTTCCTAGCGGAATGGGGTAGGCAATTAGAGAGAAATACTGTATGTCCCTGCTTACCATGTACTGAATGTTTGCACCCTGTGGTGGAAACTGAATGACTTCAATGGCATAAAAGTAGAGAGAGTAACAGTAGATTCCAGAAGGAGTACAGGGAACGGGAGCATAAAGTTAGTGGGTTTAGAGAAAATGAGTAAGTGACACGGGAATGAATTTAAAAGGTGGCATAGGTTATGAAAAGATGTATCACATCAGATAAATAAATGTCACTGACAATCCAATATGCATCTGCAAATAAATCTAATAAAACTATCAAAATTACATGACATAAGGCACAATGACTAGATGAATATATCTAAAAGCTTGTCTTTATTATTTCATGTTGTGTGCATGCTTTGAAAATCTGTACTGTACTCCACAAGGATTTAAAATGAGTATATGTAAATGAACATGAGTATATGAAATCACATGTACACACCATGATTAATGAGAGAGAAAAAATAGGAAGTAGCATCATTAAAGATGTCCAAAATTATGTAAAATAAAAATTTTCATTTTTTAATGAAACACTAAGAAGAAAATAAATGCATTATAAATGGTTTAAAATAGAATGAAGTATAATAATCAGCAACCTGAGAAATATATTTGAGGACATAGGTCTATGTATTTTTATCTGAGTAAATGAAATGAACAATGAGAAAAACCAGTTAATAGACATGGATGGTAGAATTTGCAAGGTCATTAAGCATCAAATATATGTTATGAAAGGATAAAATAAATTGAACAAAAATAATGTCTAAAGTCATCTATTTTCAGAAAAGGAATAAGAATCTGAAAGAAAATGTAGAAGCCATCAGGAAAGTCCTATCAGATTCTTGCATAGAAAAAGAAATGACTTCCCTAATATTTGGAAACATACAATTTCTCAAGCCTGTCACTTGATCAAAGTAGAAGACAATGAAATTACAACTGCAAATATTTATAGGCTAAGGACATCTTATTAATTCAATTAGATTGCAAGGGAGTAAATTCTCAAAATATTGAAGATGGGGACCACCTATTTAATTTATCATACTTGCTTTTCCACTCTCCAAAATTGTTGTGGTTTTATTATTTATTAGACCTAGAACCTGGAGTATATTAACTGAGTAAGGGTAATACATGATTTGAGAAAATCCCATCCAAAAAATTGCCCTTACCATCTCAACAGGAGATGGTGTAATGGCTACAACACTGGATTCCCACATAGTGGACAACAGTCTGAGTCCTGGACCTGGTGGCTTAAACCTCACATCAGGCACATATACCTGCATGCCCAAGATCCTGAGAGGAGCATGGAGGAGAAGGGATTGTGGCATGAGCATTCCCTCTGAGTGGGGGGTGATTTCTCACTGCCTCTCTGGCTCTATTATCTCTCTGGTGAACACATGCTCCCTATAGAAAAAATATCTCTCAAAATGAAGGAAAGAAGGAAAGAAAAAGAAAGGAAGGAAGAAAACATAGCAGCCCAAGAAAGCAGTTCTTCCAGATTCTAACAACTTCTCCTTTTCTTTCCCAAATAGATGAATTATCAAACTCATACATGGCTCCTGGAAATTCCACCCTGGCTACAGAGTTTATTCTCACCAATATCTCAGAAAATCCAGAACTGCAGGTTCCCCTCTTTCTGGCCTTCCTGGTGATCTATGGGCTGACCGTGGCAGGAAACCTTGGCATTATCATTTTAACCAGTGTTGACTCTCGACTTCAAACGCCCATGTACTTTTTCCTGAGACATTTAGCTATAGTCAATCTTGGCAACTCAACCGTCATTGCCCCTAAAATGCTCATCATTTTTTTAGTAAAGAAGAATACTATTTTATACTATGAATGTGCCACCCAACTGGGAAGTTTTTTGTTTTTCATTGTATCGGAGGTTATCCTGCTCTCTGTGATGGCCTACGATCGCTATGTGGCCATTTGTAACCCCTTGCTCTACATGGTGGTGATATCTCCACGGTTGTGCCGTCTGCTGGTAGGCCTCACATATCTCTATGGACTTTCTACAGCTGTTGTGGTTTCATCTTCTATATTCTCTATGTCTTATTGCTCTTCAAATGTAATTCGTCATTTTTTTTGTGATAGTATACCTCTGTTAGCATTGTCCTGCACTGACATTTACATTCCAGAAACAATAGTGTTTATATCCGCAAGTACCAATTTGTTTTTTTCCTTGACAGTAGTTCTTGTATCTTATTTCAACATCGTTTTGTCCATTCTAAAGATGCGTTCATCGGAAGGAAGGAAAAAGGCCTTTTCCACCTGTGCTTCACATTTGACGGCAGTCACAGTTTTCTTTGTGACATTATTATTCACGAATCTGCAATCTCGATCTAGTCATTCTTTACACAGTGACAACATGACTTCCATGTTTTACACTCTGGTGATCCCGATGCTGAATCCCATGATCTATAGCCTACGGAATAAGGATGTGAAGGATGCCTTAAGGAGATTCACAACAAATCCATGCAATTCCTTTAAACTAATGTAATTTTAGAGCTCTGTAGTGAAATGAATATAGAGTTCTTGTTTTTGTCATTATGAAAGAAAATGCAAAGATTAAGTGGCTGACTTGCAGGTTTATAAGCAATTCTGTTAATTAAATAAGGCAGGAAGGCTAGGATTTGGTGAGCATTGATTTTTTAAAAAAAAATCAATGAAGTTTTTTTGAGTTGTGAGGCTAAAACAGAAAAAAGGATATTGGGACCAGCAGTTAGCATGATGGCTATATCACTGGACTCCCATGTATTTGACCACGGTTTGAGTCCCGGACCCAGTTGCTTTCACACTGGGCGCTTGTGCGTGCATACCCAAGATCCCAAGAGGAGAATGGAGGAGAAGGGATTGTGGTGTAGTCATCCCCATGGGTTTGATTTCTAGCTTTATATCTCTCTGTCTCTGTCTTTCTGGCGAGTGCATGCATCCTATAGCAAAAATCTGTCAAAAAAAAAAAAAGAAAGAAAAGAAAAAAAGGATATTATATTATTCTCAAATTTTGCCTAGGAATAAGCTGGAAGATGGTTTGGAAGAAATATTTCCAGGATTGGGCCAGCAGGTGGTGTGGTGATTATGAATTTGCACATTATTGATCATAGTTTGAGTCCCAGACCCATTGACTTAAAAATGATGCTGGGAGCATGTGTATGGATGCCCACAATCTTTGGAAGAGAAGTGATTGCTGCTTGCCCATATTCCCTATGGAGTGATTTTTTGCTTCTCCTCTCTCTGTCTCTGTCCTTCTGTCAAGTGCACAAATACGTGTGTGTATGTGTATGTGTGTGTGTGTGTAAAAATTTTAACTCAGCAAAAATATGTGACTAAGAGAAGCAAATTTGGGCCAGCAAATGGCATGTTGCTTATGGTGCTGGACTTTCATATGACCAACTGAGGTTTGAATCCCAGACCTGGTGGCTTGCTTTCTCACTTCCCCTCTCTCTCTCTCTCTCGTCAAACTAAAATAATAATAAATAAAATTAAATAAATAATTCTTTAGAAAAATAGAAGCAAAATCAACATTTCTAATTCTTAGTCTCCCTTTCTGTTTCTTTCTTGCTAATTTAGATATAGTGGCTCACTACATCTTGAAAGATGGAATTGCAGTCCTCTTAATAGCTAAGCACAATGAACTGACAATTATATTTAAAATAAAACTACCTAATCTTTTCTTAATAAATCTTGAACAAGTGTATATGTTTATGAATTTGTATCTTGATTCTTAACAAGACTATAATTGAATGTACTTCATTCCAATCAGTATATTTTACAAACATTTTAAAGACACAGAGGACCATCATCATATCAATTTTAAACTGGATTTGGTTTACAAATATAACAGACTCTGTAAAATTTGCATTTCTCATTAGTCTGCATTTAATTCCTTGTGTCTGTGTGTGTAAAATTAATGTAATGAGACATTATTGTCTTTTTTTTTTTTCATAAGTTTTTGCCATTGGGTGCATACACGAACTGAAGACAGAAAAAAAAAAGAGTAAAGGGAAAGTGAAAAATACCCCTAGTGGGGATGGTCAGTCCACAATTCCTCCGTTCTCCTCCTGGGATCTTAGCCATGCATGCACACATACCTGGCATAATTTTCAAGTCACCAGGTCCAAGACATGAACCATAGTCGGCCATGTGTAAGCCCAATGACATAAACCACTATGCCACCTTCTGGCCTCATACTGAGACTTTCTAAGGGATGGATTTCCTCTTTGACTACTCTTGATCAGCTAGTAATTAGTGAGAAGTTATACTAAACGTCTTTGAACTCATAATGCTTCTGGTCTGTGTCTGGTTTGGGGAATACATTCAAAAATTAATTAGTCTTCAATTATTCCCCAGCATTTACTTTCTGCTGCTCCCTAGCTAACATCTAATGTGTGTGTATACAGACTGAGATACAGCTAGTGATGTGTGACATTCTGGAGTGTGTATCAAACCTCTTAATGGGTCATCTCCTTTCCTCATGTCCATGTCCCTTCAATCTTTCATTTGTCCCATTGTGACCATGATCTCAGGTTAGGAGAATTGCATTCACTTCTGGGCATGGGTTTTCTATACTTACCTTCAATTCTAATATGCCTAATGGGTTTTCTACAATTACCTTCAATTCTAATACGCCTATTCTTGACCTTTAGCATTGGTGTTGTTGGTTTTCATGTTCACTTTGCCATGGCTGAAAAATAAAAATATAGTTAAAAATGGGCTGTAATGAAGAAAGAAATACACATGGTACAACATTGACACATCAACAATATTTCTTTTTTAAAAAAATTATTTATTTTATTTTACCTATTATTTTGTTTTAATTTGACAAAGGAAGAAAGATAAGAGAGAGAGAGAGAGAGAGAGAGAGAGAGAGAGAGAGAAAGGGACAGTGAGAAAGCAAGCTGCTAGGTCCAGGACTCAAACAGCGATTGGTCACTTGGAAGTTCAATGCCTTAATCTCTATGTCACCTGCCAGCCCTACATCAATAATATTTCAACTGAATTAAAATGCAATGAGGGACTGGCAGGTGGCATAATTGTTATGTCACTGGATTTCCACATAGTAGACTGCAGTTTGATCCTGGAGCCAGGGGCTTAAAACTCACAATGGACATGTGTGCATGTGTGCCCAAAATCCCAAGAGGAGAATACAAGAGAAGGGATTGTGGTATAGTCATCCACCCCTCCCCGGGGGGAGTTGATTTCTCACTTTCTGTCTCCCTGTTGAGAGTACATGCCCTATAGCAAAAATCCCTCTCTAAAAAATGCAACAATGATATTGTAGCACAATAACATTAACTATACTAGCAGGGATGGAGGATATCATGGGCACAGCAACATGAACTCAGAAAAGCTAAAATGCTACTAGTCAAGAATGAAGCCATTGGACTGTTCACGTGTCTTCCTTACAGATTTGTTTTCTCAGCTCATTCTCTCATTTCTAATTTTTTTTTTACTGGTAAGCTACTTGAGTACCATGTATTCTGGTTATCAGTCACTTATCTGAAACATAGTTTACAAAAATATTCTCCCATTCCAAGGGTTTTTAATTCTCGGCCATTAAAAACAAACAGGAGGCCATAATCCTTTAATCAATATTTTTTATTTAAGTGCAAATAACATAGAATCACCTTTTTGCTGAATGCTGTAAAACTGTGTGTGTGCCTGTGTGTGTGTGTGTGTATATATATATATATACATATATATAAATATATAACTTGCTTATAACTCCTTCTATATACATATATAAATATATATATATAACATATAACTTGCTTATAACTCCTAAGACTGCTGTCACTGTAATATTTATTGTAAATACTTTAATTTTTTTCCTTTCAAATATCTGAGCTCATAATCTTTTTTTTTTTTTGAGATGTTTTTGCTATAGGGTGAGTGCACACACCAGAAAGACAGAGACAGAGAGACAGAAAGCAAGAAATCACCCGCCAAGGGGGATGTCCATGCCACAATCCCTTCTCCATTCTCCTCTCAGGATCTTGGGCATGCACACACACGCGCCCGGCGTGAGTTTAAGCCACCGCGTTCAGGACGCAAACCGCGTTTGACTACATGGGAGTCCAGCAACATAGCCATTACACTAACTGCTGGTCTGGAGCTAATAATCCTTTAAACCAATAGCAATTACTTCCCCCTAACATAGTCTCTACTTTTTTTTGAAAAAATTTTGCTATAAAATGCATGTACTCACCAGAGAGACACAGAGAGACAGAATGAAAAATTTCCCCTTTATCTCCCCCCTCCCCCTGGGGGAGATGGTCATTCAGTAATTCCTTCTATGCCTTTCTCCTCTTGGGATTTTGGGCATTCACACACATGTGCTCAACATGAGTTTTAAGTTGCCAGGTCTGGGATGCCAACCACGGTTGACTACGGGGGAGTCCAGTGATGTAACCATTACACAATTTACAATTTTCTCCACTTTCTACTCTGATGTAATTTTAATCTGTGGGTTATTAGGAGTATTAAATATATTTTTATTGGATTATATACATGATTATTTGTTTTATAACTATATCACTGTTTAAAGGAAAGATGATTCTGGCCAAAATGCACAAATGATTTAAAATTACACCCAAAAATACATATTTATCTCACCTGTAGTGTATTTTATTTTGACTCTATGCTATTGCAGAACAATGTTATTTTCTTTTTCTCTTCTGTTTTGGTTTGCATGTCTATGTTTATTTTTATTATTATTTATACATTCAATCACTATACATTATTTAGATTGTAAAGAGAATTTATCCAGCATGAAGTATACCTCAGACCAGTGCAGTTGAGAATACTATACATGTCATCATCATCAGGTAATGTTATTTTCAACCCTTGACTTTTGTCCTTTAATCTATAGTACCTTTAATTCAAAAGGGAGTTTCCATGGATTTTTGTTATGTAAAACTAGTGTCAGTGACCTCTTGTTCTTCCAATTTGCTCAAATTTCCTCTTAGTCCCCTAAAATCTTGCATGATAAAGTACATGTAACTTCTTCTATACTTCTTACTATCTCTCAATTGTAGCAAAAGTACCCTTCAAGGAAGATTAATATTTCATGAAAATACTATAGATCAAAAGAGTAGTAAAAATAAAAGAAAAGAAATCTTGAACAATAGCACTGATTGCACAATTTTAGTCATAAAGTTGGGGCCAGCTGGGGAGGAGGGATTGGGACCAGTTGCATGAATTACACCTTGATTAACCTGTTCCTCCTATACATATAATAACAACCCTACAAAGACACTACAGTTCAGAAGAATTCACATGCACCTAAATAAATAAAAATCCTTTTGGGGCCGGCAAGTGGCATAGTGGTTAAAGGAGCTAGATTACCACATGGCTGAATATGGTTTGAGTCCCAGACCTGGTGGCTTGCTTTCTTACTTTACCTTTCTTTCTCCTCCTTCTCTGTCTGGTCAAATAAAAAAAATGATAATAACAAATGGAGATAAATAAATAATTCTTTTAAAAATAAAAAAATAAAAA